CACGGCACTCGCACTGTCAAACCTCAGGATGTAAAATGACCCCACCAAAGTTTTTAGGCAACTGGCACTCGGCCCTGCACTCGAATGATATACAGAGTTCTAAAAAGGTCCGGTAACTGAATTTTATTTGTTGCTACTATTACAGATAATGAAACCAAGCTTTGCGAGTATACCTTAACACTTTTTAAGCAAATATGATTTTCCATCTTCCAAAGGACGGCCCACAAGAAATCGGAAGGAAATATTAAATGAAACCATAGACCATTTAATTAAAGATCATTATTGGGAGAACACAATGCCACAGATCCGTCCTCAAAATGATCATCATAGCCAAAACGGTTGCTGTTTAAAATTACGAATTAGAACTTGTTGAACAAATCTAACTTGCTATTGGGGTAGCATCAAACTGTTGCTGTTTTTAGCTAAAATTAGCTTTTTATGTCTGGTTTGTGGTACTGTACTGTGTTGTGTGTTCTCCTTGAAGAAACCGTTAATTGTATGTGTTACTTGAGGAATGCTCTCATTAAGATTTTTTTCTGGCTCCTTGTGGATCGCTCCCAGTATAATACAAAAAATATATTTAGTTCAAAAAGTAAATTTGTAGATACCGTACTTAGAATTAAATCTCGTTTCATTACCTACAAACAGTTGAGCAAATAGATTCCGTCCCTGGACTTTCTGGAGACAAGGAATGACAACTAAACTTTCTCAACAATATGAAACTTTTAATTTTAAATTGTTGCCGTTTTGGCTAGAATGCCCAATGCTAGAATGAACATTTTGAGGATCCATTATATTCAAAGTTTGTAGGTCGCGTTTGACGTATTTCATCTTCATAAAATGTAAAGCCATACGTCGGAATTTGCTGCTTGCCGGTAAAAGCTTTCTAAAAAGGGCTTGTCTGATTGAACATCTATTGCTGTGCTTAAATTAAAATAACTGAAAACACCTTTCTAACTATTATCTTGCAATTGCTTATAAAGATTAAATACTTTATATCTTTCTAGACAATTCAATGACGTTGCTTTCAAACTCTCGCCTCAAGCGTTGAACGTTACGCAACTTAGAATGTCAATGACTTCAGTTTAATTCGCCAATTTGATCGCCTTCACGAACAACGAAGGTCGGATGGAACGTTGAGGCAGCTCTGAAACTGGTATACAAATTTGTAGTTCCTATATTCTGTGCTCTGGGCACCGACGTTTCCTAAGAAGGTTAATATTTAACTATTTTTCCATTGTTGGTATTTATCAATACAATACTATACAAGATATTACTAACCCGAATTTAAAATACTGCGAGACACAGTTTGTTGACAAAACAAGCTAACATGTTGGCATCCCTGTTTTCATTACTTCGTTGTATATCAGCTGCATGATGCATGACATGCATTGTTGCTTGGTTTGGTTTTACTGGGAATGTATTGTAAATAAGCCATAACATGACGTTTTCTCAAGCTCGAAGAGGTAGAAGAATACAATGAAAGTAATCATTTGTTTTATTAGAAAGGCTTGAAATATTTGTCTCAACCCAATCTATTCAACTTAGAGGTCTAGTCAACTGAATGTTTTAATAGAGGTCTTGAATGTATACTAGGCCTAATGTCAATTATAATTGTACAGCGGTATTCTTCCCGGACGATGCCATGCATGTAACATGTTTTAAAGGCAATAAAAGTTTGTCATTTGTCATTTGTCATTTAGGTTTTCAGGTGCGAGTCCAGTACCTAACCATAGCTATTATTGACATGTACAAATTTAAGTAAACCGGAACTGTAGTAAACAACAAACAACGTAGACCTACAATACATACTGAATTGAGATTGTGGAAAAATCATGTTGAGTCTTATGTACAATAAATTCCAATCACACTAAAACTCATAGATAACTATGCAGAAATGTATATCAGCTGATCAACAATGAAGTAGAGAAAACAGGGGTACCAACATAATAAGCTTGTTTTGTCGTTAAAAAGTGACTCACAGTAGGCCTACTTGTAAAATTTGTGGTTGCGTTAAAAAAAACACCATATATTTTACAAATGTGTGATAATCTTGAAAAATATTTATTAAAATAATTTTCGGTAGTGTACCTTCAAATATTGTAATATTTGTTCATAATTACCCATTCAGATTTATTTATTTAAAACTAAAAATAATATGTTACCTGCTATAATACAAGCAAAATATGTATCAAAATTGAGTCTATTGTTGAGTTTTAACGATACTAGCATTTTAGGTTTGGATTTTAGGTTATAAGGAAGCATTTACTCCTGTGTTATTTAGATTGACATACAACTAACGCACTCGTATTAGAAAGTACAATAAATGTCAGCAATTACGTTAGTTGAGTTAGATTTATCCTAATGATACTGCTCACGGTATGCGAATCTAAATTGTATTACCAATATATATACTATGAATATAGAAGTGGATTCATCAAAATAATATATGGAAAGATTTAGATCCTTTCACCTGAAGGTTTCGGAGACTGAAAATTATTGGTCTGAGACCACTAGGAAATCTTTCCCTTTGAATGAATATATTGAAGGCCTACTTTTAGAACCATGTAACTAACATAAAGTCTTCCATGGTGGCGTCCACCGCATTCGCAGGTGTTCATCGCAAAAGAAAACCTGAATAAGCTACAAACATGGTGTTTTTTTTACTCAACCCCAATAATTACAGAAACCGTGAGACTTTTTTAAACAAGAAAAACCAGCTCATAAGAAAAATACATCTCTCTCAGAATATCACTTTCCACTTTGGTCAATTTCCTCACCATTAAAAATTTATTTACAAAAATCTAAGCAACCTCCAAATTTAGAGTACCTTGTGAGAAAATACTGAGTTAGTGATATTTTTATTTGTACAACTAAATCTAGGCTTCTACTGGACAGATTTTGTTAATTTATGGGTCATTGGAAATCCTAACTCATGTAGATTGGCAAATCTATACTCATTTAATACGCAAGCATGTTTTTTGTGACAATTACTCCTCCGAAACTACTGAACCGATTGACATGTTTTCGGTGTCATTGGAAAGAGCGTAACGTGAAGTTGTGCAGGAAACTTTCTTTTTAGGGAAATAATTAGAGAGTGAGGCCCTGGGACCCTTTAAAGTTTCGTATTTCTCCATAAGATTAACATGGGAAACAAAAATTGTTATGAAACTCCAGCTGTTGTCAGAAGTTAAAAGTGAGAAGAAGAACATATGTTAATTCTAAACATTCAATAAGTTTGCTAATACAGTTTGCTACAAACATTTACTGACTTGGTTGAAATGGAATATTTACTATTTGAATTTGGGTTAGTGTAAATATTACAATGGAAAAAAGCGAGAGAGCCTGGATAAATTTATATAATACTGTTATGTACATCTTGAGTATTTCCATAATCTTTTGGTCGAATCTTCTAAAGTCATCAGAAATTATGACCGTTAATCCTTTTAAAATAACTCTTTTAATACTTAGCAATTGCTCGAATTCGAGCAACAGGGACACTAGTAGTTATAAACGTGTGATTTTTATTAAATATTCTGTTTCCAAGTTTCAATTCAACGTTTGGTTGTCTTTATTGAGCATTTTCAAGAAATACAAAGTATTCATTTTTAGTAAATTGTATTCTATTTCAAAATATCACATCCACTTTAGTCGATTTTCCGACAATTTAAAAAATATTGTCAAATAATCTAAGCGATTCCAAATATATAGTTGTAAGAAAATACTGAATTAAAGATATTTTTGTTAAACTTTGTTCAACTAAATCTAGACTTCTACTGGACCGATTTCGTTGAATAGTGGGTCGTTGGAAAGCCTAATTCATTTAGATTTGAAAATAATTATGAAAGTTTGATGTCATTAAATATTTGAGGTGAAAAAAATACAAAAAATACAAGAATACATTAAAAACTGCCTTTTTAATTTTATATTTCCAAGTTTCTATTTGTAGCCAACTTTATTACTATAAAGCTGCCTTTATTAATGCGTAATAGTAATTTGTAGGAAATTATATTCTCTTTCAGAATATCACCTTCCACTTCGATCGATTTCCTCATCATTTAAAAATTGTTTGCAAATATTCGATTTCCTCACTATAGTTATTTGCAAAAAGGCTAAGCAAACTCCGAATTATTTATAGTTGGTAGAAAATACTTAATTAGAAATATTTTTGTTAAACTTTGTACAATTATATTTTCAGTTATACTTGACCGATTTTATTTATTAATAGGTCATTGGATAGTTTCATCCATGTAGATTTGCAAATAATTAATTATGTATTTTTTTAGATTTTTGGCAGTATTTGGTTTTCCAGTAGCATCATCTAATCATATGAAACATGTGTTAATAATTTAACAGCTGATTGCTGCATTGTTATTTCATAAATTTTTCTGTTGTTCACAATTTGCATTTGTGGTTAAAGAGTGGTCTTTCTGTTATTTGTGTGTTTATAAAGTTATGAGCTTAATCTGTACAGTTAATATTTGTAACTAAAGTAGTGCATGGATTTCATGACTGTAATTTTCTTAGAGACCGTTGTATTTAACCACAGCAGGCTCTATGGCTAGTTACGTAGTTTTTGCATGCTCAAATATAGCTGGCAAAAACACAATGTTGAGACTGATTCACAATAAATTCCCAATAACACTAAAACTCATAGCTAACTATGCAGCAATTCATATCAGCTGATTGGCGATGAAATGAAGAATCGTTTCATGGATACCAACATTTGAGCTTAATTTTTTTTAACAGGTAATTTACATTTGATTTGCGTTTAAAACATCCTGTATAAGTTCGAAATAACATCGTCAGTTCATTCTTTTCGTTGGAACATCGAGAACATCCCAAGCAGAAACTTTGCAGACAGACCGGAATCAAATGTTTTCCTAAATGCCTCGAGGAACTTCTGAATGTTATAATTTTACGTCGTAACCATAGCTTAATCAGCTGATTTCCACTCTGAAGTGGAGGGGATAGAGTAACTACCAGTAGTGGTCCTCTCTTCGTGGCTCATGGACTTACATTGGACATTCTCTTCGCCTCGTCCTTCCATGTGGGTAACTTTTTGTATCAAACTTCTAGTACCACTAAATATAAACTGCTTTCTCAATACCTACTAATTATGATTACGAATTTCTTGGACTAACAAATATTCTAGAGGTTGAACGCTGCTGTTCGCAACGACAAAAGGTTATGTTTTGGTTATGAAAGCTTTAAAACCGGTTTTGAACACTTCAACTGGAACATTGGGTTTCAGCTAGACTTTTTCTGCAGCATTTTTTTTTTTTTAACTATTAATATGTATATGCAACCTTAATACGCGTATATTTATTGTTTTACGACTGAATAGTATGCATTTCTTTTTGGGTTTACAATCATGAAATCTTAGTTTGCCTAGCTCTAGAGAAAACTCCAGTTAAATTGTTAAAAAATAATTAGGGATTTTACTGGAAATCTGGCGTTGAAGATGATCAATAAATTACAGTAATTTTATAAACAAGTTTACTATTAACTTCCTGAACTTTCTGGTAAAGCTGCAACACTAAATAAAAACACTTCATAATTTTGTCTTAAGCAATGGAATGAGATTTACTCTCATCCTATCCTATTTTATTCCAGAGAAACAGTAACTAAATTGTAATTATGAGTCTTAAGGCATAACATGATTGTATTTATGAGTGTTACGCATAACATGACATAAGTCTGTCACTCTCACACTAAACAAATACAGTTATGTATTCTTTTCTGATTTAGAAGCTATTTAGCTACAACTGACCTAACTTTTTTACCTTGTGAATCTTACGATAGTTCTAACTATGCTGGAGAATGAGTACTTGTGAGTTGTGAATATACATCTATGGTTGTGGCTAAATAGTAGAGTAATACATCGAGCATGGACACATGACAATAACAAAAGCCAACCACGAAGAAGGGCTACCTTATAAAGAGTTGTAAAGTTATTAACAACTTGAACGATTATTCAAACCGAATCTAAAAGTATGTTTTCACAAAGACAGAACAAGTTTTGATTTATGTGAACAAGATTCGTCGCTGGATAATCAAATAGATAATTTATAGTTTACACTGCAGAAGCAGCTGTAGAATATTTTATATGCTGCCGTTAAAAGAATTAATTCAAAGAACTGTTGGTCTGGTAACAGATAAAATTATATTTGCATATTATAATTATAAAATTATTGCATCGGTACATTGCTCTTCCCACAGAATTTGAAACCTCTAATCTGAATTTTAGTTAAAAAAAACTACCTGTCGACGACTTTCAAAGCAGTCTTGGTCTCATAATAAAATGTTGTACAGACAATCGTAAAATTCTCTGTTTCTAACCACGTCGTATGCAGTGGTTTTAGCCTACTTGAAACCAGAACCCGACTTCAGAGTTCTGCTTCACACACTCCAATGATAATTTATATTATCCTTATGCAGGACTTCTGCCAAAGGTACTATTTTACTTATCTTACATCACACTTTAGATTATGTAGTCACATAATGTTTACTCCGCTGATTGCAAAACAAACATGGTTAAACTGATAAGTTTTATATCTGATGGTAGTTTTACTTATACGCTAGGTTTAAGCTACCTAGGCTACTATAAATTTCATAGTAAATGAAAGCTTGTTTGTAGGGTTATGCTTCACTAGGGGCGAGAGCTTTACTACAAAAACCATCGGATGAAAAATAGGTGTATTTAAGCTAGTTTAACATTCAAAAATTAGAGTCACGAATGTTGATAAATAAGATCAGCTGTTACTCTACTCAAGACTATTTAGTAAAGATAAATTTCCAATACCAAGGACAGCTGGGACCGGTTCCAACCCGTCAAAAACTCACTCGACCTTCTGATTGTTGGGCAAGCATTCTAAAGACGCATCATCACCATCAATCATGCTACAAATCCAATCACTGTTAACGGAACTAAACTACCATACTGAGACAAAGTGAAAATCTTGGGACTGACTCCAAACACTACACTCACTTGGGGAGATGCAGTGATGCAGTGATTGACATTCGTAAAAAGGTGTTCTCATCAATACATTCATTAAAGAAATTACAAACTTTCTTGCCATTGCACATAAAGCTCCACCTTGTCAAATCACTCGTATTTCCCCACTTCACTTACTGCAACTCTGTGATCAATGACATGACTGTAAGTCTTGCTGGTGTGCTGCAGCGCTCGCAGAATTATTGCTTGCGATTTGCATTTGATTTAAGACGCTTTGAGCACATTACACCTTTCTACATTGAATCAAAAATATTAAAGTTGAACGATCAGAGGCTACTTAAAATCCCCATGTTAACATTTTCAATTTTAAAAAATATATTGCCAAAATATTTTGAAGGGGACTTTAGCTTTGTAGCCGAAGGTAGCTTGAGGAGTTCACGCACTGCATATTTCACTTACGCATACCTCATCATAGGAGTACAGCATATGACAGGGCCTTTGTTGTAACTGCCTGCCGTCTTTGGAACAACTTACCTTTATCCATCAAAATGCTTGATAGTCGTCCTCGGTTCGTGGCGGCAGTGAAAAAATGTACTTTGAGCGTATGGCCTCGGCTGGTGCGTCCTAGGACTGTTTTGGCACCTTGCGTAATTGCTGATTGAGTGTGTGAGACTTTTTTTGTTTTTAGACATTTTGTTTTCGTTTGATAAAAAAAGTATTGTTTTTGTGTAAATAATGTGTTAAATTGTATATTCTATTTTATATCTATAATTATGTATGCAGGTTAAGTGTAAGAAAGGGCCATGTGACCCTAACTTTGCCTGTTGAAATAAAGGATTTTCATTTCATTTCACCATCCACAAAGCACTCAGTTATCCATCCAAATAGACGGATACAACACACTCAGCAGGATTGGCTATTATTATTATTATAAGATCTAATGACAGATAATTAATCCCCAAGAGCCATGCATTAACGGCTTATGTAATGACATACTTTTAACGATGGAGTAAATTAACTTATAAAAATACAGATTATGTGGAAACTCCACTCTTCTATTCTTCTTCAATTCTTCAGCCAGGATGGTATTTCAATCAAATGAAGTCTATCGACCTTCTTCGAATGACTCAACAGATTTTGTAGGGATGGTCAAAATAATTTAAAATGGTGTTACAGTACCATCATTATTTAAATTGCGTGACATTTCAATTGAGTTTTCCAGTAATTACACATAAACTGGCAGAAGTGTAGCTGTTGAGTTTGCTATTGTAGGTTTTGTTGTTGCTGCTGTTGTTACGAAAGAATCTGTCGCGCAATACACGAACCATGGACCGTGTCCGACCGAAAACTAGCGTTGTAATGGACCAATTCCATAATTCAGGCAACAAAAATACCTCAAAAAGTATTCACTGAAGAGTATTTCAATAGCGCAACAGATTTCATGGAGATTAGAGGGTAATAGTTTCTCCCCCTATACATAGTATATAGAGAGAGCGTTGGTTTCATCAAGATTTTCGAGTTTGAGTTGTCGGTGGACATATCCGTTTTGAGTCCACTTGAACCCAAGAAAGTGGTTTTTGTAGTGATGTCTGTGTAATTGTGTGTGTGATTTTCGTAAAACCGCTCAAACAATTTTGACAAAGATTTACTATGTTATGGTCCTTCTACAAACTAAATTGTACAACTCCCAATGCTGTACACATTTAAGTTCAAGAGTTAAAAGCAACTTGTGATTTTACCCATGAAATACCATAGTTACATACTCCCACCGATTAAGGGGTTGTACCCATTATAATGGGTTGTTGACAAGCTTGCTGATACCATTTGTATTATTTTATGATTTTAAATTTACAGAACCAGTTTTGCCAGTTTAAGAAATAGTGCACTGGTTTAATGTGAATTTTGAGTGTGGAGGTAATGCAGTTTCAAATAGATACCAGTAGAGCGGTGTCTTCTAATACAGTAAAATGAAAGTTCTGATAGATTATTAAACAATTAATGGTTTTAGCAATCCGACACATATTTTCTCCCATTATGTTTTCAACACTAAATGGGTAAGCGCTAGGAGTAACAATGGTATTTTATAGGGAAAATCACAATTGCAATAACTTTTGAACCTTATTTTTACGTAATTGGGTCGTTGTACCATTGTATTTCCAATTAAAAGGACTATAATTACAAATTTTTAACAAAATAGTTTGATTTATTTCCGTTATTTTATGGGTTTTAATAAGAAAATCTCAAAATTCAAACTCGAAAATTTTGACGGAAACAATACATTCTCCATATACTATGTATAGGGGGAGAAAGTAAAAATACGTATCAATCGTAAAATTCTCAAATTACTTTTTGCAAGACCAGTTTTGGAGCAAAACCAAATGTGTGGTTTGAATCAGGATGATACTGTCAGGTTGGACATTATTTAAGGTTTGGATACAGCTCCAGGATAAAATGCGTGTGTTATTTCACACCATAACGAAGCGTTGACAATAACTGCATGAAATCTACTTAACAGCCCCCAACCCGAGGCCGGTGTCATGGGCAGGAGATAGGAATCTGGGTATCCTACCATCCACTGGAGGATGTATATACACTTATATATGTATACACGAGTGAGAAGGGATATGAATACTGACAAATGTGTGGATTTATCATTGCAATAAATATAGGTTGAAACGTACTGGATACTATCGTATGAATGGTGTCGGTTAAATATACTTATAGGAAGAGAAGTAGATACAATAATATGTGTGTATACATTTGTAAATATATATCGACTGATATTGTTTTAGCAAATTTCCCTATAGCGAAATAGCTAACACCGTAGGTAAGACCTTAACCCGGTACGGCTTTACTATTTTCATTTCGATGTCCCCAGAAGCCAAAAACAATATCCGTTCAAATTCTGTTACGTATCAAAATTGCAGTGCAGTAAATACATCTGGTGATAACTCGAGAAAGTATTTTTTATAGAACGTAAATCAGTAAAACTTTCGTTATTCTTACCTACAAATGTTAGTAAGTTAAAACTTTCACAAAATATTTTAAATTATCTTTTTTCTCCTATACATATTATATGGCGAAAGTATTTT